CCGCAGTCAGCCAGGTGGGAATCCAGCACCTTTAACCACCATGCCACTTGCTGGCCCCTTCTTCTTCTTTGAATTATATGTGCACACGGGACGAGAGAGAGACTAGGAAGACAGGAGAGAAGAAACACCCTCAACATTGTCATGCCACAATTCCCTGCCCCAGTCCTCGAGGTCCTTGCTCCTTGGTGCTTGCTGCTGCCCATTTGGAGCGTTTTTCAGGTAGATCTGAACCGCAGTTGCCATGTGGCCTCCAGGACTGCAGGTATTGTGTTACTGCTGCATCTCAGCAGCTGGGACGTTCTTGTTTTTTAACGATAGATCCCAAGAGAGGAAAAGACTAGGTTAAGGATGTGTTACAAACACTTTTGATATGGATCGTGTAATTGCATACCCGAAAGATAATTTACACCCCCAAAGCAACATGAAAATAAGATCCCAAACTTATTCTCTTGTTTACAAAGCATTTTGGAAAAAACTTTAAAAAATCTTTTCAGATCGGATAGGTGGAAGGACAATCTTACAGCTTTGAATGGTCCTTCTCTGACTGGGATAAGGTTATATACATTTATCGCTTTCTCATCTTCACCTTGGCCTCCTACTTACTACTTTTACTTTGAATACCCTTCTTATACTCCTCAAGCTTTTCTTTTCTTTTCTTTTTAAGAGATTTTTTATATAGGGTGTGTGCGTTTGCTGGAGAGACACAGAGAGAAAGCGAGAAATCATCCCCCAAACCCCCCCCAGGGGGATGGCCACTCTGCAATCCCTTCTTCTCCATTCTCCTCTTGGGATTTTGGGCATGCACACACACTCGCCTGGTGTGAGTTTTAAGCCCTCGGGTCTGGGACTCAAACTGTGGTTGACTACATGGGAGCCCAGCGACATGAACATTACGCCATCTTTTGGTCCCAAGCTTTCTTTTTCTGACTATTCCTCAGAATTTTATACTCAGCCTCTCGACTGTCCCACGGACACCTCAAATTCAGTTTGTCCAAAATTAAAACCATCTTTATTCCTACATGTGCTTCAATTTTTGGTCAATGACATCATCAACCACTTTGGCAAACTAATTCAGAAACCTGAATTTTCTGGTTTCTCTTGTTCTGTTATCCAGTCAATAAGTTTTCCCAGTCCCACCTCTAAAATCTGTCAAGTATCTCCACTCCTCTGCCTCTACTGTTCTTGCCCTGCTCAAGCTATTATTGAAGCAGAATCTTCACTAGACTTCCTGCTTTGTCACCCTGATCCGTTCCATCCTGCATGTGACTACAGAGTGATCTTTTTTTCCCTAGCAAAAACTTTATTCAGTTCATAATTGGCAAAATAAATTTCAGTTGCAATTTCACATATATCAAAAATGGAGGTGCTACTTATAACAGAAAAATCTTTGTTGTTGTTGAAACTCACATCTTCGGGAACCAGCAGTTAGCGTAATGGCTATGTCGCTGGACTCCCACGTAGTCAACCGTGGTTTGCATCCCGGACCCGGTGGCTTAAAACTCATGCGGGGTGCGTGTGTGTGCATGCCCAAGATCCTGATAGGAGAATGGAGGAGAAGGGATTGCAGCGTGACCATACCCCCTGGGGGGTGATTTCTCGCTTTCTGTCTCTATGTCTCTCTCTGTCTGTCTGGCGAGCACACGTGCCCTATAGCGAAAACCTCTCCAAAAAAAAAGAAAGAAAGAAACTCACATCTTCAAGGTTGAGGTTTCTCAAGGTAGCTGCTGCTGCTCCTCCCTCTCACGGGCTCTGCAGGCCGCCGTTATCGGGCAGCTAGCGCCTCCAACAGAATGATCTTTCTAAAATACACATCTGCTGTTACTCTCTGGGTTCTTACTCTCCTATCTAACTTCATCTCTTGCCCTTCTCAATGACATTCCCTTCTCCTCTCCCAACATATGGAACAACCAGAATTCTCCACTGTCTCTGAGATCTCTTACTGCTAAGAGTGCTCCTTCTCAATTGCCTTGGGAATTCCTACCAATCCTTAGAGACTAAGGGAGCCTATCCAAGCACCTCTCCCTCACGTCTCTCTTTTTTATACATAGGTACATTTTATACAGAGCTCTATTAAGACACTCTATTAACATCACAATTCTGCAGTTTTTGCTTAACAATCTCTCTCCTTCACACAGTAAGTTGCTCAAGGACAGGTACTATGCCATTCATCATCTTCTTTTCAGCACTGGCGAAGTTCTGGAACAGATCATGTCCTCTGTGTACGTGTACTGAACGAACGCTATTGTATTTCTTATAACAATGAAAAATACCCACCATCTGATGATTCCCTAAAAGGTATCCCAAGGTGATTCTGGCAGCTGCCTAACAAGCTTCCTGAGTTTCCTACCTAATGTCTCTGTTACCTAATGTCTCTGTTAACAAATCCTTCACTTTGCATTGTTAAGATTGACAAAGCTATTCTAATTACATCCTAACAAGTTTGGGCACTTTTCCAAGCCCAGCTGTCCCGCTAACAATTATCTTTCTAAAACACACTTAGTTATGTTACTTAACACTCAAAAACCAAGAACTTTGATGATTACATATTATGAATTGTAGGTGGCTATTTCCTAACTTACGGAAATCAGTCCACTGAGGGTTAAAACTAAACAAACACATAATGGAAGAAGATATAGTACTTACCAAATACAAGGCTTAGATGACTTACACACTTCAACGATAGTATTTAATAAATTTCAGAAGACAGCTCCATCTGAGCTCTTTAGTACTATCTCCTATCACTCTTCCTCCTCATTCTCAAGACCCATCCTGGTCACTGTTTCTTAATGTGTGTTGTGTCTAGACTACCCTCTCATCAAGCAAATTCCGACTCATCCTTGAAAGCCAGAATGAGATGTTACATCTTTGCTCCAAGAAATGTTATAAGGTTACTTTGAACTCTTTCCATGATCTTAATCAGTTCTCACTAAGCAATCCAAATCAAAATATAAGTAAACTATTTTCATATGGATGACTGGAGCTTTGTAATTTCATGTAAACAATGTATTAAAGCACGTTTTTCTTTCTTAATGAAAGAGGTGGGGATATATATATATACATATATAATTTTTTCCCCCTTTTTAAAGAGATTGTTGCTATAGGGTGTGTGTGCTTGCTGGAGAGAGAGAGAGAAAGAATAGTGAGAAATCATCTTTCAGAGGGGAAGGTCATGCTGCAATCCCTTTTCCTCCATGAGAGACAGGTATTTTTGACAGAGTCTCACCATGCCATAATCCACATGCCCTGGCTTTCCAGTTAACTAGGATTGCAGAGGTGCACCATAGCAGCCTGCTGTAGGTTGGTCCTGGAACAGAACCCAGGCCTCTGCTATAGCTCCAGTCTCACACAATGATGCCCTACCCCCATACCACTAGTGGGCGAAAGCATCTTTAAAAATATTTGCATTTTTATTGATCTGTAACTACAAGTTGTAAAGTACTTTCAATGCAAGTGCATCTTCAAGACAAGCCCCCTAGCCTGAACTTCCCTCTAAATTGTAGCCACTGAGCTCCTTCTTTACAGAAATTCTGAAGCAGATATGGAACATCACTTTGCCTAAGAAGCTTTCTCGAACTGCTTTTATTTATTTTTTACACAATGATAATTTCTTAAAAATTCATTTATTTCTTCAGTGTGTGAGAGAAAGAAGCATCCCCAACAGGGTCTTCATGCCACAACCCACCCCCACTTTCAGCCAGTCGATCACAGGCAAGCGCACACAATGCTCAGAGTGAGTCCTCAGGAGATGAACCCAGGACCTTCCCGAGTGCTCGAACTGCTTTTATTTAATTTTTACACAATGATAATTTCTTAAAAATTCATTTATTTCTTCTAAGGCTGGGCATAACCTTCTCTTCCTGACAAACTGTAGCTTCTCCTTCTGGACTCATGTAACTTTGTTGTCTACAACAGTTATCTTACCAAATGATAGTACAGTGTGTTATTTTCTCTTTGGTTTATTCTACTTTGGCAGCTTAAACAAGGTAAGGACTCTAACTCAGTTTTCTCATGTGTAATGTAAAATGATAAACAGATAAATCCCATGGAATGCTGCGATAATTAAATATGCTAATGCATACTTAAAGTACTTAGCACGGTGTCTAACATAAAACAAGTGCTTAACAAACGTTAGTAATTATTTTTTAATATGTGTTTGGTGAATTACGAAGTTCTAATCTCACAGCAAACAAACTGGTGGATGGTGGTTCACAACCAAGCATGATATGAAAACACGTTGTCTTGAAACCCCCTAAGCGATCACTACTTAAGCAAAATGTTTTCCTAATTACCTATTTGCAGATGTGAGATAAAATTGAGCAGATATATTAATGCTTAGTAACTTAAGAAGAAAGTTTTCAAGACCTCAAAGCTCAAAGAAGAAGTGAAGTTTCAAATGTGAATTTGTAAACTTATAGGAAGTTTATTTAAAATAACATAAAACAATTTAACATTCAGAGAAAACGGAAAAAATGTCTTGGGAACTGTGCTCTCTCTGACCTTCTAATACTCATTAACACTACAAATTATCTATAAATGTATTTATTATCAGCTTTTGCAAAAAATGAAATGAAGTGTATTGTGTGTTAGAAATAATACCAAACTGGAATTAAAGAACATTGGATTCTAGCCTATAAATTAGCTTGGGGGATCTTGGGCAATCTTTTAATTCCTCTGGGTTTCAGCACCCTCCTTTGGAATTTGAAGGAACTGGGCTAAATCAACTCTAAATTCACATTTAGCTCTAAAATACAAAATTTGTATAATTTTAAATTTCTCTTACATGACTCTCTCCCACCCACTAGAAACTGAATTTATTTATTTATTTGAGAGATTTTTGCTATAGGGCATGTGTGCTCGCTAGAGAGACAGAGAGCAAGAAATCACCCCCCGGGGGTTAATGGCTATGCCACAATCACTTCTTCTCCATTCACCTCTTGGGAGTTTGTGTATGCACACACATGTGCCTGGCATGAGTTTTTAAGCTGCCAGGTCTAGGACTTGAGCTGCAGTTGACTACGTGGGAGTCCAGTGACCATAACCATTATGCCATCTACTGGTCCCTAGAAAAGGAGTTCTAACCTGAAAGTTTCTTCTGACACATTTTAGAGAAATTATGAGTTGGCTACAAAGCTTTGAGAGAGGCTAAACTATGAAATCCCATTATCCTATGGGCAACATCTACCAATATTAAAGGTAACCAAGTAATCTCTTTCTAGCAGCACTTAGTACAAAAGACTTTTATCTTTGCCTTCCTACTAAAATTGTAGACTAAGAGATAAGGAAACAGGCAACTAACCTATATAGCTTCACAAGGAAAGCAAGCATGTCTAAATGTGCGCATGTACACAAGCGCACAATTCAAACTCAGTAACTCTGCAATTGCCTTATGTATCCATTTCAAGGTCATATTTAGTGCCAGGTTATTGTAGGTGCAGTTCACAAATGTCTCTAATGTGGGATGGAAAATGGAGAGTGATTAACTAAAAAGGGAATCTTTAGCGAAAAGACAGTTTTCCCACTGCTTTTGAACAATGGCAGATGCCTCTTTCTGGATATTCCCAAAAGAGAGATACAGGAAATTCCTTTTATCCTGTTTTAGTAAGAGTTTGATTGAAATTTGAGATGCACTTGCTCCACAACTTTCTGGACCTGAATCGTAAAGAAAGCCCAGTGTTTTTTTTCCCCCTCCAACACTCAGCTATTAGCCTCAACCACCCCAATCTGAGTTTGAATGTCATTCAGACTAAGTCTACATAAATCGACACAAGCACAGTAAGTTTTTTATTGTTTAAATTACTATGTTACCATATGCAGTGCAAAAAGAAAAAGGACCGATCTACTTGTGCATTCACCTTTTAAATTCTCGAATAATAAATAAAAGACAAATAATGAGTTAGGAAAGGGAAACTGAAGGGAGAATTTCCTTATAAGTCTTCTAATTTATCTAATTATAGAAAACATGCTCAAAATTTTAGAAAACACTTTTTTTTACATGTGATTATCATTTTAATAAATTAAACTATGTTTACCTCAATAAATTGGAAAGACCCCTCCCCCCCCAATGTCACAGTCAGTCTAAATCTGGCTAATACAACTACCATTTGGATATAATATAGCATCAAAAATAAAGGGGTAGCATATTTTCAATTTCTCTTGAATGTTAACACTCTTAATGCTGAGTTTCCAACTCCAGAATTGTCCATTCCCCTTGAGGTGAACAATCTTCAGAAGAAAAACTAGCCATGGTGATGCTTGCTGAGGAATTATCAGGTGGGGATGTTAGTTCACCCCATCTGTTCAAAGTGTCAACATGTGCTATACCCTGAGGTTTTGAGTTGTCTCGTGCTAAAAGTAGTGTCTGATTGATTAGATACTGTGCTAAGTTTAAGTCTTCAGGAAGAGAATTTGTAATATTTAAGTTTGAATTCTGCTCAGAGAGCAGTTGCTTTAGTAGTGTCCAATCTTGTTTTGCAAAGTGCTGATCATCTTCAAAATCTGTATCTGTAACGTGTGTTTCTGATTCCATTTTCTGCTCAAGTGCTTCTATTACATCCATCTCATATATTGGAGAGAGGGTTTTTGAAGGCCGATGGTCATACATGCAGGTTTGTGGCAGTGTGTCACAATCATCAATGTCTCCTGAAATAATTCATAATACTACACAATGTAAAAATTGCACATGTTGGTACCCCTCAGAGTTTTGTAGAACAATATTAACACAATATAACAGTGATAGTTCAAAAAAAACACAGAATGGGGAAAATAACACTTATACAAAATTGACAAGATTATTGAGGCATTTCTATGTTATGAAATTCAAAGGTAATGTTGAGCAGCAAAATCAACATAGGCAACTAACAATAATTTTCCGTGCTTTAATTTGAAAACTTGTGATACAGAAAACAACATAAATCATTTAAACATGAACATAAAATATGCACATATATCTAATTTACTACAGTAGAAACTTAAAGGGAAAAACAAAAGACATAGTTATTTTGATGGTGACTTTAAGGTAAGTCAGTTCCAAAAAAAGGGATAAATACATTATATCTAAAGGCCTATTTGTATATTGCACATGCAAAGAAGGATGCAAGCAAGGACAAACAAAAAGTACAACTTTTAAAGATCTCCTTATTCTTAAGATTTTGCTGAACAGGGATTACTACTCAGCATTTTCTTAGTTACGATACACAATAGCTACTCAGTCAGCCACTATTGCATATTTTAAATGTGGGTCATTAGTTTGAATTACTAGAATAAGGAAGACAGAAACACAGAACAATTAGACAGGAAATCATTTAGGCATATGAAATAAGCCTGGATTTTTTTTCATATATTACCATTGCTTCTAAATATAATCTTTTTTTTTTAAAGGAAATTCATATCTTTGTTTCAAAATTTTAGAATAGAATTATAATGATTCTGAAAGTTTTAATCTCTGTAAAAGGCATATAAATTGTAATAATCAATCTAGTTGTTAAAATAGCTCAGTGCTTTCAGTCCCGTTACTACAGTTATTGCACAGCCCTATTAGATAGACACTAGCAAGTCCATAAATCATATGCAATGCATAATAAAATTTCTAATAATCAAGACTTATGTTAAATTAGACTTAAATAACTAAATAATAGCAAACTAAACTCTTTGTTCTTTCATGTAAAATCTCTGTGTAGGTTAGCTCTGTCTAATAAACAAAATTTTTACTAGATATTCATTCTTCACTAAAATTTTAAGCGATCATTAAAGAATGAGTAGCTGGCTAATTTTCATATAATTAAGAAATTTAAGGTTTCATTTAAAATTTGATTCTGTTGCTTAAGTAATCAGTCTATGTAACTAAAATATAACATTCAGGGCTACATACAACTTTAAAATTCTATAAACTCATTTTCTTATGCATTTAGCATTTCTATTTCTGTACATTACCTGCAGATAAAGCAATATTAGCTTTTTCGGTAGTTGCAGAATGGCTCTCTTTCACTTGACCTTCCTGAGGCAGAACTTGACTCCGAAAGGAGTCTAAAGATTTTGTAGTGCTGTTCTTTGGTATGTCGGAATTGGGTTCTCTTTGATGAAGCTCCAAATGACATGGTCTTTCATGAGATTTTATATCACCATCCAAGAGTTTGCTGCGTTGTTGAAAGTTATTATCCACATTGTTTCCACTGTTTACATTTTTATCTTCTGGAAAAAGCTGTCTGCTTCCTTTGGACAGGACATCTACCATGTTTATTTTTTCTGTGGCTGAAATATTCTGTTTATCTTTTCTTGAAGAGTCAATGTTACTAAGACCCAGGAGAGTGCTTTCATTTTTATATATACTATTGCCTTTATCTTGTTTACATTCCAAAATACTATCATTTTCTTGTGAGAATCTGGAATAGCAGGTCCTTCTATAACGGTCATGAGAAATGCCATCAAAAACATCAGAAGGTGAAAGAGAATCTACAGAAGGCTGGAAAGGAGTATGGACTTCCCCTTCATCAGATCCCAGTTCGTCACACTCATCTACTGAAAGTAAAACTGATCTTTTAAACTTCTTAGTTGTACAAAACTCACGGCTTTCATTTTCAGTTGCATCTTCAAAAGCTAAATTAATTATTCCCTGAAACTGCTGAGCAGCTGGGTGAGATATAGAGAAATTTTCTGCAACATTTTCAGCTTCAGACCTTTCATCTTCTGTTTCATCTGCTGAAGAAGACACTTGATCTATTTCCTGAGAAAAATGCACATTGCTGCGTGGATTATTTTCTTTTTCCCTAGGGTGGACCATTGTAGATCGAGACCAAATCTCTGGCCTTTTCCTAGGAATCTCATCATCACTTGTTGAATTAACTTGGAAGAGATCATTACTACTTTGCTTTTTCATTTTAACTTCAATTCTTAAATTACTATCATAGATTTTTAATTCTTCTGGAGTACTGGTATCACTGCTACTTCTTCCAAGAAAATCATGGCACAGCATAGTTCCACATTTAGAAACACCTCTGTCATTTGACCCATCATCATCCTGAGACCCTCCGGCATCATAGTCTTCAGATCTGGGCTTTATGTCATCAGAGGATGTTGTGGCACTGCCAGTGTCAGATTCAGGACTCTCTCTCTGATGCAGAACACCAGTACTCAAATTCCAGTGACCCATAAATGGAGCTTCTGGAGTTTCACGACTTTCTGGGGTTTCCAATGTTTCCATGTTTTTAGGAGAATTTTTCCCTGATAGTTGTCCCGGAAAACCTTTGGAGGAAATATCTGAGTCTGCTGTAGTATGTTTGTTTTCATTCACGGCAGAGTCATCAGGCAACTGACTAGCAATTGTCAGTTCTTGTACATTAATTTTAGATTTCCTGTCATCCAGAACAGAATTTAAGGTACCATTTGTCCTTTCAGGAACACAAGGTAAAACATCTTTCAGACAGTTAATGCGTGATTTTTTGTTTGTATCTTTTCTCTCTACTTGGTTCTCCCTATCTGGTAATGAATGGGTTTGCTCCACATTTGTTGAGTCTAAATCACAAACTGGATTAGAGTTCAAGGAGTTTTCATGTGCATCTGAAATCACAGATTTTAGGGCAAGAGAGCTACAACATTTTGAATCTACGTTCTGACTCCCAACAGACTGACGATGTATTTTATCTGCCTTGCAGTGATATGTTTCTTTGTGATTGGAAAATTTTGTTTCACTTTTATCTGAACAAATCTGGTTTGATTCCAGCTCATATTTTATTGATTTATCCATTTCTGAATTATTTTGACACTCTAACACCAACTTATCTTTCTCTTGATCATTTAATGACTTTTGTGGGTCAGGCCTGCATGATGACTGGAAGGCTTCTGCACTACTGATTTCAGATGTGACCTTCATTACAGCTTCGGGAGGGTTCGGTTCAGAAACACTGTCTTTGTCCTTATTATCACCCACATCATGAAGCATGCTTTTTTGGACAATAGATGTTTCACTTTTTAAAGCTCTTTGGGAAGATGACTGAGTTTTCGATATAACCTGCCCACTTAGCATTTTCTGTTTTGTATCTCTATTACTCAAAATTTCACCTTTCTTTGACTGATTTTGGTTTTTAGGCATTGCTACTACTTTCGCATTAGCCTTAGGTGAAGTTGTGTGTCCTTGCTTGATAACTTTTCTCTTAGGCGTTTGTTTATCTGCAGTAGCATTGTGATCCAACTTTGTCACATTTTCATCAGACTGCCTTGAAGAGACTGAAGATTTTATTGAATTTGGTGACTCTCCTTGGGATCCTAAAAAATGAAAGTTTAGAAATGCTATATAGTCTTCCATTTGTGAATAAAATTCACTATCTTTTAAAAAATGTCCATTTTTAGGGAACCAGCAGTTAGCGTAATGGGTATGTCGCTGGACTCCCACGTAGTCGACCGTGGTTCGCGTCCCGGACCCGGTGGCTTAAAACTCACGCCGGGCATGTGTGCGTGTGTGCCCAAGATCCCGAGAGGAGAATGGAGGAGAAGGGATTGCAGCGTGACCATCCCCCCTGGGGGGTGATTTCTCGCTTTCTGTCTCTATGTCTCTCTCTGTCTGTCTGGCAAGCACACGCGCCCTGTAGCAAAAACCTCTCCAAAAAAAAAAAAGACCTTTTTTAAAGAAAAGTAAGAAAAAATAAAATAAATAATAAAAGGGTAACATGTCTATGATTGAATGGACAATTACAGATTAGGAATTAGTCACATGATGACATAAAGAAAATATTTTTCTACTGAAAGTGTAAAGGGACTATACTATTAAAATAGAATCTCTTCCTCAAGTGAAGAGCCTGATCCTTATGCTAAATTGGATTTGCATAAATATAGGAGGGTGGAAAAGCTGATTTTCTTATGCCGAAAAAGCAAGAAAGCCTTTCTCTTTGAAGTTCTTTTTGTGTGGGGAGGGAGAAGACTGCTTCACACAGCCAAAAAAGAGGACAGGAGAATCAAGCTAAATATAAAACATAATTGTCGCAGTTTTGTTCTTCAAATATGAATAAAACCCATTTATTTCTCATAACCAGATCATTAATATTGTAGCTCATTAGAGTTAACAACTTAGAGCTGCAGTGAAAACTAGAAATACTGACTAGAGGGAAA